ATCAATGAATGTGCAGCTGGCGCTTGTTTGCCATATGGTAATTGTACAAACACTAGAGGCTCCTACAACTGTAGTTGTAAAACGGGATATTATGGAAGAAATTGTCAATACAACGCTACACAGTGGTGCTCAGTAGGAAATCCATGTGGTAGTCATGGTAACTGTAGCGGAAACACTACAGGGTTCTACTGTGCTTGCCACCCAGGATGGGAGGGGCAGACATGTGCTGAGGACATCCAGGAATGCAAAAGCAATCCGTGCAAAAACAATGGTACATGTCAAGATAGTCAGCCAGGGGGAAGGTTCTTCCCGGGTTATAACTGCTCCTGTACAGTGGATTATGAAGGCATAAACTGTCACATCTACGTGAATCCATGTAGCGATACACCTTGTGAAAATAACGCAACGTGCTCTAGAGTCACTTACAATAAGTATAAGTGCAATTGTACTGAAGGGTTTGGAAATATGAATTGCAGTGGATTGACCAAGTTTTGTGCGTCAAAGCCATGTGAAAATGGCGGTACTTGCGTTCCTTTGAAAGACGATTTTAAGTGTGTCTGCCAGGCTGGTTATAAAGGCAAAATATGTACCGAACTGAAGAACAAATGCGACTCGAATCCACTCGAATCTTGTAAATGTACAACTGGATGGCAGGGAAAGAACTGTGATCAAGACATCAACGAGTGCTTGTTGCGATACTGTAAAAACGGTGCTACATGTCACAACAGTCCAGGCTCCTATAACTGTACATGTCATGCAGGATTCTTTGGCACTAATTGTTCTTTATTTACTGACAAGTCTTGTCATAATGGAGGCACACTCAAGAATTTTGGTGACCACTTCAAATGCACATGCTTGCCAGGTTTTTCAGGTAAGGATTGGTGCAATGTCTTTTTTTAAGGATCTTGAATTAAAAGTGCTTTCCTAAACAAAAAACGTCTTCTAACTCTTTGACTGAAAATGTCAATCCATAAACAAGGAGAATAAGAACAAATGATTTTTTATGTCGGCATTCATTTGATTTTCCGTCCATGCATTTATGGATTCATTTATATATCAACAGGTTCACTTTGCGAGACGGTAATCACTGGACCTTCTGAACGTGATGGTAAGATTTTCGTGTTTATTTTAATGAATTGATGCAATTACTGTTTGTTTAGCATGCCAAAGGTGGGTTGGTTGATTACTTGTGCAACTTTGCCTGTTGAATACTAATCGCGATAAAAAGTTTAACTTAAAAACCTTTTTTTCAGATACATCAAGTATCATAATCACATTCGTTGTAGTCGTCACTTTGCTGGTATTGGTAATCTTTGGCATGGGAGCTTTTATATACCGTCAACGTATGAAACGTAAGCATTGTCGCTTTAAGAATACGCTTTATGGGATTTTTAGGAAATTTAAGATTTTCTTCTTTATTTCAGAGGGAAACCGAACCAATAACAACGAACAGGAGTGAGTTCATTCGTTTACATCGTAATAGATTGCAAACAACCCATATGCTATTGTATGATGTTTATTATCAAGTCAGGGTTTTCTCAAAGAAAGGTGTTGTTCCCACTAATGTTAATCATATTTAAGTGATTATTATTCTGTTGCTGTTTGTTCTATAATAGAATTTATTGTTTTTGCAGTGACAGGGTTTCACCTCCACCGCCATCTGAAAGACCGGAACGTCTTTCAATGGTAAGCATCGATATTTTGCCTTTTTTTTTAAGTTAATGACTTCTTGTACTGGAATTTATACTTTTGTGTAAATCTAAAAAAAATACTTCGTCCGTCTTATTTTATAATTCAATAACAAATTTTCCTCCGCTCTCATTGGTGGAGTGTCGACCACGTGACGCGATTGCCCGCTACAAATGGGTACTATCAGTGCATAGAGCTCACCGCTTCAGAAAAAAAATGTTATTGTTGAATAAAAAATAGAGCAGTTGAAATTTCGGACATTTTGCTGTGATAGTTGCCCTTGGAAACTCGATGTTCCTCAAAACTTCAACGACTATTCAGTGTTTTTCGGAACATCCAGTTTCTTGGGTCATCTATCACAGTATCATCGATCCAACTACTCTATTATTTGACGTTCATTTTACCATAGTTTCCTTTTACTTCAAATTTGTTAGGGCAATCTACCAATGGAGCCTTCAAATACGATTCACAGACAGACAGACGACGCATATTTTGATGTCATCCCTAATCCACTAGTGTATTTGAGAGGTGACCAGGTTGAGCATGACAGCAATGACACAACCGCTGAACACGAAGTTCTATCTCCAACCACCGACAATAGTCAACTGTTTGAAGACGAAGAAACCACAGTAGTGTTAGACAGCTGTGAACCTCCTCCCTATCAACAAGTAATTTCTACTCAAAGAAGCTCAGACAAGAGCAGGGATTATCAAAGGCTGGAACCCTTAACCAGAGAAAAATCAAATGAACGCAAACCAACCAACTATCAGTCTTTGAGCTCACCTTCATTTCATATCTATGAAGAATTACAGCCTCGTGGCAACACAAACACAACAGACGATTTTCAGTTRGTCATCAACGCAGAAGACAATAGAGACAATAGACCTTATCAGCCCAGCTATTTTAGAATTTATATAGAGGAAGAAGTGTGAATTAACGCTTATATATACTTATAGGTGACACAACAGAAGCATGCATAGAATTTTGGATCCTTATATATTCTTGGGGTTCATTTTCATAGAGATTCAATTAGGCCTAAGGACTAAAAATAAATACAATCGGCGAACGCAAATGTGTGCAAATGACTCCAAAAAACTATGGGTTTTGCCGAAGAGTCGCGAAGATCCTAATAAGTTCGAAAACACTGCGCAAATATCAAATATAAAAATCCTTTATTTAAACGTTTCTTTATTAAACATAAGCTTGATAAAATATTGTTTTACTAGTGTTTACTAGTATCTCGTGTTACTTTTCTATTTTAATCACAGTTCAAACAAGACATTGATTTAAGAAATTGCGCATGGTTTTGAGTTATATATCCTTTTCTTGACACACTCTTGACGTCATAAAATGTTCAAAACTCAAGTGGTTCCACGAGCGCAGTAACCATTCGTCACGTGAAGGCGTTGTGTCTTTTACTGCAACAATGAGTTGGACATGGTGGTGGACATGGAGGAGAACCCGAACATGGTRGAGAACATCCTATCGAGATAACGAAGAAGCTGAAAATATCCTACAACCTTAAAACACTCCAAGAGGTAAAAAGATCACAATATTCTGTAAGTAGGGGCCCCTGTGAGAAACAGAACTCTTCTTTCGTTTATCTCTATCGCAGGGAAAACGAAGAAGATTCTGCTCGCAGTTAAAAGAGCGCAATAACCTAACACCAGGGTCTTCACCTGGGGAAAAAAAGGAGCCTTTTTCGTTTCTCTATCTCGAGGAAAAGACATAGGAGCCTCTGCTTTAAGAAAGATTACACAATAGTATCAGTTTGAGTTTTGTGTTTGGTTGTTTAATGATTTTTGGGCAGGAAACCAAAGTTTGTTTTACCTGTATTTTGATGAGCAGTACTTTGTGGTTGATGATAATGATAGTGGATTTCTTGTGCAACCGCTGGAACTGTTGTACCTTGAAAATCAAAGTTAATCGTAAATCATCGTAAATAGAATGTCTCTACCATAATAGGCCATTTGCACGATGGCGTAACTTTACTACAACTACCAGAGAGCCTTGCGCATTTCCATTGTTATTCAGATTTATAATCCCCTTGGAGATTAATAAAACAATTGGCACGAATTGCATTACAAAAGAAAGTTGGCAAAGCATTCTGGTAGTTGTAGTAAATGACGCCATAATGCAAATCGGCTATTGTGGAAACTAGCGGTAAACTAGTGTGAGCTGCGTCGGTGTTTCCGAAATAGTTGCGTAAAAAKATGAATTTAACACCGTAAAAAAGTACGGTGAAATAACTTATGACATTTCGGACGTTAATACATGCATACCTTGCTCCTATTGGTCTACTTTCTTTGCTGCTCTTACTATATAAACTCACACTTTACCTAGTTCCATCTCTTTACTCCAACGAAGGATTAACGCCCGAAACGTCAGTAAGCTATTTCACCTGCTTCTTTACGGTGTTAAATTTATCTTTTTACACAACTGTCTCTAGCATATCTGCATAGCTGTATACAACATTGGTCACTTGTGTAATCATAAACGTCAATGAATGCCTCAGAAAAGGGGCTTATCATGGATGTTCATACCTGGCATCGAAGTCACATACACAGGAACAAACACATCACAGTTTTTTTGAGGCAAAACAGTCAGGCTTTGAACCCCATTTAAAAGTATCACATCATGTCCAACAATTGGATCAGCCTTATATGTCACGTGATTGTGTAAATCAGGTCTCTTAATGAGTGTTTTTATCTTTAGTCCATTGTTATCCACGAAGTATTTATTGTTCTTGATATTTGAGTARACTCGAAATGTCTTTCCCGCTTTATTGATGAAGTTCAGAGCCAAGCAGGTAGCTATATGTAGTTTCAAATAATTAATATATTAATAAATATTTATAATTGGTAGGTGGTAGGTGGAAACGGCTAACACCGGCTAACAGGGCTCTGGCAGTTTGCTTGGGGCCAGCAACCCCATCACACTTACTTATTGCTACGGAAACCAATACTAAGAATAACCATACGAAATTCTTAGTAGCGGCCCTACATGCCACCTAGGCGTAATAGGAATGATGATGATAATTGAGTGGCTTTTTATCAATCAGAAGTATACATCGTAAAAAAATAGAAACTTATTGGCAAGTTTGGGGCGTTGGTCCTTTGTTCACCGCCATTTTTACTACTGCRGCAATGAAGAACCGCCGTCCAAAATGTCAACCATTCATGATAGTTTAAAAACTCTTCTAAGTTGTATCTATTTCATCTATTTTGAAAATGTGTTAGTATTTTTTAACGTACCTGCAAGAGGAGCCATCTGTGTGTAGTTCTTGTCCTCTGGCCATCGATTCCCTTTAATTTCAGGTCGACTGTGGTCCAACACCCCTTTGCAGTGCGCATGCTCGTCAGATCCTCTCGGCATCGGTACAAACGAAAACGAACACCTCTCAAACTCATCATCTTTTGATCGAATGTATTCCATGATTAGCGGCTGCAGACCATGGTGAGTCATATGTAGTTTTATGTCAGGACTTTCGCAGACGAACCAAAGGTAGTGACTAAACGACATGATTTGAAGAGATTCCGGGAAAGAGATAGTCTTGTAGAGCGCGAACGTTGCTTCACGAGCTGATGGATAGAGGAACATTACAAGAAGGTCTAGTGAAAGGGTGGTATTCGGGGGGGACTCCCTTATAAAGGGGGGCGATGTCCTCGTTGGTCCCTTTTAGGGTTTATAATCAGTGTTTTGGTCCAGATTAGTGTCATAATGACAGAGTTTGTCAGGTTTTTGATTGGTCCCTTTTGGGGATGAAATTTTATCACTGTCGCGTCCAGTATTCCCAAGATGCAGATGCCTTTTTAGGTCATTTTCAGAATTTTCGACATGTCTCCCCCCCCCCCCCCCCCCCCCCCCCCTTATTGTCAGCAGACTCTAAACGTCTCAGTCAATTGTACATTACAATAACTTACCGAAACGTAAGGTTCCATCGCGCTGCATTACGTAAAAGTGATAATTACGTTGGACAAGAAAATGATCAGGGATACACGCGGACTCGAAAGAGATGTCATCCGACATTGTGTTAGGTAATAGTCCTTCTCGCATGATGAAGTACTGACAAAACGGTCGAAGTGAAACTTGTCCGTTATAAGAGTTAATGCAACTGTTTTTTGTTAGGTTTATCTGGATCGCTGGTATGTCAATGGAATGGATGCTGTAGTGAGCGTTGAATACAACTATAGAAGGTAAACAATTTACTGTATTAGCACAGGTAGCCCAAGCTCTACTGTGTACRAAAAAAAATCCTTGGACGTTTTCATCAAACGTGAGCCTTTGAAGGATGTATTGATTATTTTGAACTGAAATGTGTTTAATATCAGTTAATCGCACTATTTCATTATGACGTCACAGTTTTACATCGGGAAAAGATGCTCTGAAACAGTGGAAATTTGGACATCTTTATATTCCTTCCGAAAGAAAAACTTCAATGTATCGTGCTTTAATATATGTCATGTATCAAAGATTGTTCATGTACATTTTATTTGATGATATGCAGTCTTGCACTCTGATCACATCCTGCAACCATAATCCTTAGCGTCAAGAAATAGAATGTCTTGGTGTGACGTCATAGTGAAATAGGGCAATTGAAACCACTATAGCCCGACTCCCGGGCAAAACCGGGGGAATTTACATTTCAGCGATGTTAAAAATCCCCGCTATTCCAGACTCTTAGGGACAAAAATGGTGGCTAAACAGATCATTCTCTTAGATTTAGACTTTAATTCTCCCGCGCCTACCGTTGGATTGACTTACAACGCGTAGTGATAAGTCCCCGGCTATAGAGTGTGAATTCCCCGGTTATCCCCGGGTTTGGGGGATAGGGGGGCTTCACTTATACACCCTTTTAATAAGTCCCGAGGTATTACGTTCTCCGCWCTTGACGTCAAATTTATTCTTTTGAATTCCTTTTGTATTGTAAAAATTTCAAAAGAATAAATTTGACGTCAAGTGCGGGGAAAACAACACCTCGGGACTTATTAAAAGGGTGTATATTACTTACTTTTACTAGCACTGCCGCTAGTGTACACCAACCGTCGCGCCACGTCATCTGGATTTTCTCCAATTTTAGGATAATAAACAAACTTTTCGCCTTCCCTCGTGGATTGAGTATGATTATAATTGTTTATATTGGTAGAATTTCCATCTATTGATTCAAACACTGGCTTAGGTCGTGTTTCTATCCCAGCAGTGTCCACTGGTCTTGTTTCTGTGATGGTTTCTGTAGTATTCGRTGTTGCTTGTAAAGGCTGTGGCCTTGTCGTGTCAATACTAGGGTTCTCCAGTGAACGATTTGACAATAAATAAGGCAACGCTAGGCGCCTGAGAACATTTTGTGTAATGTTGTGTGTAATATTTAAGAGCTCGGCTGATGGGGGTAAAGGTTGTTCTATAGGTGCTGGTGGTTGTACGGCCTGTGTACTGTTCTGACTGATATCTCCTGCTAAGTCGTTGTAAAATTCCTTAGTTTTACTAATACTGAGGCCATCAGTGTTTTTAACTTGATCTAATTGCTTCTCTGTTCCATATATCGGTCGCTTGACATCTTGGTCGGATTCAGGGGGGYGTAGAGGTGTGAATATRGGCGTTGGCCATGAGCTGCTTCGATCATCTTTATTATGTTCACTGTATAAGACTTGGTCATTCTGACCAGACTCCGAATTCTTAGTTTCTGTAAATGTGCTTTCTTCTTGGATCTCTTTTTTKGGTTGTTTCTGGTCTTTTCCTGGTTCAAATGGTGTAAATATCGGCTCCGGCCATGAGCGTTTTGCGGTGTTATCACYATCCCGTAGCGCCTTCTGATGTTGGGTTCGTCCATCCTCTTTCCACCCTGTGTAGGTTTTTTTAACGGCTAGCTCTATTTGTCTATGTAAACCTTTGGCCGGGCCATGATACCTGTAGAAATCAGGTTTCCCTACGTATATAGGTCTTCTCTGTATCTGCCCCGAGCTTCCATGGACATAACCCCATGTGCCTGGTATATTAGTAACACGCATTGGTCCGCYAACGGGATCTGGGTAAGTACCCGGTGGAAACCCTTCGACGGGGTGTGCAGTCGGGTATGTTCCCRGGGGATTTACATCAATAMCCGCGGTAGATCCCGTGGGATGTGTACCAACCCCCGGATATTCGACCTTATTATCGTTGCCCGTAGTAGGGAGGTAGMTGGGAGTAGGTAAATTACCTTCACCAGTASCAGGTCTTTTGAATGACATCTGTCCATCAGGATGTTGATTGATATGTACATTGTAAACACGTCCTACATTGGAKATTTTGCTTGGTGGGATGTGCTGGTATACATTATTTCCCTTTGGCCCAAATAACCGTACATCCAGACCTCTTAGTTGGTTACTATAAGCAGCGAAGGTAGCGTTAAAYGCCTTTGCAAACACTTCTCTKGCCGCTTCTTCTGCCACYTTTTGCGCTGCTATTGCTCCTGCTTCAAGGCCCGCCATTCGGCCTGCCATAGCGCCAGTAAGKGCTGCTGACTTCGCCCCTGCTTCCATGCCATTTTGTGCTCCTGCCTTGGCGCCAGCCTCGGCCGCAATTTGATAGATGCTAGATTGYTCAGTGACGTTTTCCTCTATACAACAAAAACGATTGTATGAATTGATTTAAATTTGCGTTTAGCAATTTTTAAAATGATGACGTAATGTAGTGACACACACAATGATCATGTGACACCAGATAATCCAATCAGGGATCAGACTTACCGGAAGTATAAGGCCTGGGAATATCGGTCCAGAGAAAGTCTTGTGTGATTGGTCCTTTTGGTATTTCTCTTTGTCCAGGCAACTGAACTGCCACAGAAAAGTGATCGTCRTCGTAATATTCCTTCATCAGGGACTCCATGTAATAATAGGAACCCTTTCTTAAGGAAATAGACCAAGACTTTTGGCTTCCATGACTAGYAATTTGAAATACAATGATTAATATTATATATGCGAATAATTTGTTTACATTTCGGTTCATTAACAACATATAATTAGCATAAGGATATAACGTTTTAACCTAACTATCAGCAAATCAGCACTGAATATATTGAAACAGCCTTGTACAATAAGATTTCCTCGCAATTTTGCCACTCAGCATCTTTGAACGCTAATATCTCATAAACTATTTATACATATAAAGACTTCAAATTATCGTAGTTCATAGTTCTTCATAAGCCCTTTTACGTTTATGAACTTATTTTACATTTTTTWTAWAWWTMWAMWYTKTG